CTGACATGAAAGTAATGTTAACCAGTTTGATGAGAGTATTTCAAAATGTATATGAAAACAGCACACTGTACCCCATGATTGCATTAATGTACATAGTTGTGCTATAAGAAATAATTTTAAAAAATCAGGGGAATTGCTTAGTATGGGAGGTCCATTTCCAATTCTTCATTGATGATCAATCACATACTGGTTCATATTATTTTTCCTAATTTTTTCATTATAAAAGCATCTTCATTTTGACCCTTATCAGTTGACATTATCAGAGTCATTTAACCATAATGGACATGTGAAAACAGGTGTTGTGCTATTGACATTTTGTGGGCCATGCAGTGTTTATATCTTTCTTGTCTAGATGTCGAAGTGAATTGGTCTATGGGATTTCAAAGATGCTCCACTTTGAAGAATAAAAAATGCCTCCCAGGATTAGATTCTAATTTTAATTTAATTACATGTTGGAAAAGAAAATATTTGGTTAAGTTTAATTCCTGTTGTAAAATGGAGTGAGTTGTCCACCTAAACTTAAACACTGGACATTAATCTGGCACTGATATATCTTTTTGTATAACAAAGAGAAAATATAGACCAAAAGTCTGGTGGCTTATTCTTTAAGAAACATATTAATTCATCTAGGTGGAAACACAGGCTACTTTCTAGGTGGGATGTAGAGAAAGCCTGATGTGGAGCTGTGAGGTCACCAGAGGAATTTACAGTGGAGCAGATAGTTTGCTAAGACCTATTGATTTAATTTGAGACTTACACTTGCTGAGTACCTTATTTCTGGACCTTATTTGAAACATAAACTTCTGGATTATGTAGGCTGTTGATGAGGTTGATAGAACTGATGCATGCTGGTCTGGGTTTGGGCGGTTGAAGAGAAGATTATTCACGAATCATAAAGGAACTTTCTGATTTTCTTTGCAACAGAATAAAAAAGAACTTTAAGTATAACACAAATGTTTACCCACGGACCACCATGGATGGTCTCATTACTTCTTTGCTCTACGTCTTTTTCTCCAGAGATTAGTCAAACTGTTTTGATTCTAGAAGACAGGGCAATGTTCTCAGGCCTCAGTCTATTATTCCACCACATAAGTTTTTGAAAAACACTTGAAATAGCCCATTGTTTACATAGCCATCAAATCTCTCTTTTAACAGTGATAGTACGTTATCATTTATATGCCAAAAAACATGATGAAAAAAAGATGTAAATAAGATAGAGTAATGATGAATTTCAAAGGACTTTGATCAATAGTTGGGGTTTTTGAATGCCAAAGAACAAGTGTATGAATTTTTTTTTTTTTTTT